GGCCGAGGGACGGAGCCGGGGTGGGTTTGCTGGGTGTGCGGGATGTCCCCTGATGGCTGCGAGCGGGGTCCGGCTGCAGCCCCTCCCTGCGCAGTGCTCAGGGCAGTGTGCCCCGCTAAAGCACATTCATGGGACCCCCATCCTTCAGGGGGGACGGTGGGCATTGAAGAGGCACCCCTGCAGGTCTCGATGAGCTGAAGGTGCATCCCCGCTTTGAAGCCCGTGTAATGCATTGCAGCGCAGGGCAGGACAGAGGAGGGCACCGTGGCTTTGCCCAGCCCTGAGTGCCCATTACTGGGGACAAAAAGACTTTAGAGGGGTTCCAGGTCTTGCTTGCAGAGCCCGGAGCTGCCGCTGGGATGGTGCTGGGAGGTGAAGTCCCTGCCAGACATCCTGCTGCCCTGCTGGAGTCACCTGGAAGTACCCAGCACACTTGGATTCAGAGTCCCAAAACCCGGTCTGTGGGCACGGTGTTGAGAGGTACCTGGGTGGCACTGCCATGAGGTTAGCGGGGATGGGGCTGGCACCTGCATGCTGTGGGTAGGCTCAGCCTGACCTCGACATCCTCACCTTCAGCTCCTGGAGCTTAGAAAAATGGGTAAGTACATAAATGTATATACCATGTACTGCAGGAATATATAGGAGAGTGTAGGTGCCTATATATGAAAATAAATATAGAAATAGAAAGACATTTACTCCAGGAGTGTATAGGAGTGCATACAAATATATTTTTATATTATATTTATATGTAATATATATTGACTTAGGAAAATTATGTATATAATATATACACACATGTTTTTGTGTGAGTGCATATACTCCTGGAATACGTATTTTTATCAATGTCCCATGTTTTGTGGCATCTTGGGCACAGGGTTCAGAGACAAACCACTCCCCACCCCCCCTGCCTATCTCCTCATGAGGGAAAAGGCTGCAAATACCCACCCAGAGGTTCCACAATCCCAAGGCAAAGCTGTGGGTGCTGAATCAAGATGTCCGTGCCATGCCAGAGCTGCTGGTGCAGGGTCCTGGAGCCAGCACTCGTGATCACAGAGACCCCTGGGGCACAGCTTTCTTCTTCCTGCTGGGTGCTGATGCTGGAGCTGCCGTCCCGCAGGATGGCTGCAGGATCACTGCAGTGCCCATTCTTGGCTCTGTGGGTTCGGTGCTACCTGCATGGAGTGGAGCTGGTGGGCACTGGGAGAGCACACAAGAAACAGCTGATGGCCTGCAAAAGGCTTCTATTTCTTGCCATTGAAACACTACCAGAGCCCTCCTCAAACGCCAACTATCCCCAAGAGATGTTAATGAGGTCACTTATGGCTGTGCTGAGGAATGGCAAATTATTCTGGTGGTGCTGCAGTGAGTGCACCTCTTTGGGGTCCCAGCTGGGGTGATCCACACAGCCTGGCAGCAGACAGCCCAGTGCCAGCTGGATGGTGTCTGCACGAGGATGTCACCCATATGGCCTGGGGACATCACAGCATCCCCAGCCTGACCATCCCTGGAGCCAAGTGTGCTGGGGAAGGCAGTCAGGACCCTGCATCCTCTTTGTGAGGCAAAGAAAGAAATGGCCATTTTCCCACGTGTAACATAGCCACAGGAAGTGTCAGCTGCATATATATTTATATCCCTATAAACCTGATGGAGCTGCCCAAACCCCTTCACAGTCCCCCCATCCAGCATGAAATTCCCTCTGACACTGCCATCCCCGTTCCTAGCGAACACTGAGAGAAATTTCCTATATAGTTTTGAGAGTTCTGAGTTGTCTGCCCGTGTGTTTCATTCTCATTGGAGTTTTCCTTCTGAGTTTATTTTTGGTAAAGCCTGAAACAGGAAATGAATTGATGGCAGCAGGCTGGCTCTTATTGCTGCTTGCTGCCTGAGACAAAAAACCATGCTGTTGTCCAACCCAATGGCTCCTTCTTTGCTTTGTGAAATCAGAAGGAAATGAGAGGAAGATTAGTGTTGTGGTGTTGATGGAGGAGAGGATGAGCCAAAAGTGTCACCATGCTCCTCTGATCCCATGGATAATGTGCTGGCGGAACGGAGGGCTGGTGGCTCCATCACAGACACTCCCACAACTTCTCCTCAGCCATGGCCACCATGTTGTCACCAAAAGCCCTATCTGTCTGTCAGGGAAGGTGGATCCTGCTCTGTCTCAAGGGAGCACAACACCTGATTTCCCCGCATTATAACTGGGTTCAGCGGGTTTTTCCTTAAGGTCAAAGTTTTCTGCCTGCCCAAAACAGCCCAGGAAAGCAGCTCAGAACAAGCAAGTATGTATCATTCCCTGGTGGAACTCATAGCTGCAGGGAGATTTTTTGATAGTTTTCAGCCTCTGCTGAACCCCTGAACAAGACCTCTTCACTGGTGTCTATCACAGGGAGCTGTCAGTCAAAGATATCCAACATGCAGTGGTGGGAAGAAAGCGTGCAGGATGCCTGGAAAAGAGATTTATCAGCCCTTCATGATATTGAGGTGTGGCAATGCCTCACCCATGTCTTTCATGGCTCAGATCATCACAGGACATGACTGGAAGATTCTGAGCTGTCTGAGCTGAAAAGACCCCGTTGAAAAGATGCTGGAAGCAACAGAGAACCTCAGGGTGAACATCAGCTTGTTGTTTTTCCTCAGGTAAGGCAAAGCCTGTAGTGGAAGCTGCTGGAAGGACACAGGCAAATATCTGAAGGAAGTGTCCAGATGTCTCCTAGTTCAAGAGGGATGTGAAGAAACTGGAGGCCTGGACAAGAGATATCAACATGCTCATGGAGTTGGCACACATCGCACCAGGAGGAGGGGGAAAGGCTGGGCTGGGGGGAGGATTCTGAGAACAGCCAGTGACTAAGGTCACAGAATCCCAGAATATCCTCAGCTGGAAGGGACCATCCAGTGCAGCTCCTGGCCCTGCCCAGACCCCCCAACAACCCCACCCTGGGCATCCCTGGCAGCGCTGTCCAAATGCTCCTGGAGCTCTGGCAGCCTCGGGGCCGTGCCCATTCCCTGGGGAGCCTGGGCAGTGCCAGCACCTCTGGGGGAAGAACCTTGCCCTGTTAATCAGCTTAAATCTCCACAAATCTACCACAGCTTCATGATGAAGCTGAACCCTTCTTGATGGTGCTGGGTGATGCAATGGGGTAAAACAGTCACCAGCTGCAGCTTGGAAGATTCAGGTTGAATCTTGGAATAAAATTGCTCCTCAGGAGAGTGACCCTGGAACAGTCAAAGGAAGCTGGGGCATCTCCACCGTTGGAGAATCCCAAGACTTAGCCTGATATTGCCACTGCCACCCTGACATGATACTTAAGCTGGAGCCTATGGTGATCTGCCTACCTGTCTGTGACATGGGATTTTTTCATTTATCCATAGGCTCTCCTCTGGCTGGCTGGGACTGTGATTGGTGCCCATGGATGGGCTTATGCCTGAGTGATCCTCTGCTGTCCCAGGATAGCCTGGGGACCAGGGAAAACTTACAGTGCCCAAATTTCCTGAGGCACCAGCCCCAGTTTTGCTGCCTGCATGAGTGAGAGTGCCCCAAGAAGAGGCTGGGGCAGTTCCAAAATTCACCTTGCTGGGCCACCATCATGAGCATCAAGGGTGACTCCCCTGAGTGCTCTTCAGCACTGACATGAAGAGATGTGTATAAGGACCATGTGATGTCTATGACAAACCTTGCCTCTTAAATTGTATTTAGTTTTGCACTTTCATTGTCTGGATTCAACTCCTTTACTTCTCTTTTACTAACCTATGAGTAGCTTAATCTGAGTGTCTTGGAAGCCTCTTCATTTTGTCCAACAACAGCCTCCATGGTGGAGATAGGGGCTTGGATGCCATCCCAGGTCTCATTAGATTCAGTGTCCCTATTTTTCTATTGATTTTCTCTCTTTTGTATCTGGTGACATTGAGCTCATTCATGCACTCCTTTTTCTGCACAGTGTGATGTCCCAGGACTAGTTTCAGCCATTGTCCTTCACCTTTCCAAATAAATCCTGAAGGAAAGGGGAAGGAGAGTGAAGGAACCCTGAAAGGTCCCCAGAAGCCTGTGTAGCAAAGCTGTGATGTCATTCTTTGGCTTTGTGTCATGTGATGATGCTTCTCCAGACAGTGGCAGGTACTGTGCTGGCTCCAGCTACACAATACTGAGCCATGGCCAGGTGTGGGCCAGAGCCCCATCCCTTCCTGAGTGCTGTGCTGGGCTGGTTGCAGTCCTGGTCTCATGTGGTCTCATCCCATTCTGGTATTTGTCTGTCTCCATCACCTCTTAGATTGCTGTGTTGACCTTTTGGTCTGGTGGTCTTCTGGGACAATCATCCCCCACTCTGGGAACAGCTCAGGACAGCTCAGTGGTGGGCACCAATGCTCCTGGCTCCCCTGGAAGCAGACAGCCCCAATTCTAATGTCAGGGAGAGTCCTGCTTAGGAATCTTGGGCAGAAGCTGTGTGGAAGAATCCTCAGCTTCTGGGCTGCCCCTGGGCTTGTCCCAGCCTTGTCTTCTGTCAGCATTGTGCCTGGGGCTGTTTGAAGACACCAAATGCTGATAGGGTTGGCAACCCCTGAGCAGGGGGTTAGAAAGCTGGGCTCAGAGCTCTGCACCACCCTCCCCACCCCCCCCATTTGCGTCCCAGCACCCTGAGCACCCAGGGGTGGGCTCTCTCTGCTGTGGCCAGAGCTTTCTTGAACCTCAAGGTCTGACCCAGGCTACACTGAGGAGTGTCTGACCATGGGACCAGGCAGCCATTGGGACAAGGCTGGAAACTGGGGGAAGAGAAGTTCCTCATTTTGTCTTCAGGGCTCATCTCTGATGCCAGGTGAGCATGTGTAGCAGCAGCCCCAGAGGGAACCTGCCTCCCACCCTGTCTGCTGCTTGTTACCACCTGCCTGTACTGCTGCAATGTCATCCATCTACCCACTGCATCCCACGTGGGACCGTAGAACTCAAGCAAGGTTACGCATGTTGCCTGCCCACGGGAAGGCTAGGACAGGGATAGATGGCACCCAACTAGGGAAGAAATACATTTTTATTAGGAAAGCGCTCTGCAGAGGTGCCAGGCTCTCTCATATCAAACTAATCCCTCCAACTCCACGGGATGGGATACAGGAGCCCGAAGGGCGTCCAGCTCCATCCATAAATAGTGCTTCCTCCTGGCCAGGAGCAGCGCCGGGGCGGAGGGTGGGAAGGTGGCATCGGTCGAAACCAGCTCGACCCCACTCCGGCATGCACCGGCAGTGGAGAGCTGTGCCTGGAGGGCGCCGGGCCGGGGAGCTGCTGCCAGCGATGGATGTGGGGCACACCTCTGGCACTGCGCTGGGCACTGAGCAGCAGCTTCCTCCCTCTCCCGTGCTCCGCGACCCCGACAGAGCGGAGTGGAGCGCGGGAAGCGAGCGCTTCGGTTACTGCAGAATATACCGTGGCCACGTCTAGTACAACAAGCGCTGCTTATGCTGTCGATAATACTGCTACAAAAAAAGTAGGGGCGGGGGAGATACGCCACACACGAAGTCCCCCGGGGTGGCGGCGGGGCCGGCTCCTTGCGGTCCCGTCCTGCGCGGGGAGGGAGGGCGAGCTGAGGCCCGGGCAGAGAGCAGGAGCAGGGCACAGATGAAGGGACTGGGTCCTAGGTCAGAGGGAACTAAGGCAAAAAGGGGGATGAGTGAGGTGGAGGGGGATAAAAGGAGGATCAAGGCTCTTCCAGTGCCCCAGCCCAGTCCAGGCTCCCACGTTCGCTGGTTGTGCTGGCCAATGTCCTTGTTCCCGGTGTGCGGCCGCTGCGGGGCCGGTGCCCGGCTCCCGGCTCCCGGCTCCCGGTCACTGCACTGCCTGAGCAGGCGCAGCAGCTGCCCTGGGCGGCTCCAGGCTCGCTTCCCGGCTCTTCTTCCTGGGCGGCTTCTTAATGGGGGTTTTCTTGGCTGCCTGCTCCGTGGGGAGAGTCTGCTCCTGGCCGCTGCCGGCACTTGGTTTCTCCACCCACTTGGGCTCCCCGGCTGCCGTCTCGGCCGCCGCAGGGATCAGTTTTTGCAGATGGGGAGAGGTGGGCAGCAAGGGTTTGCTGGTCTTCTGGCCGCCGGCGGCCGCCGAGCGCTTGGCTTTCTGTGGAGGGGTGGGCTTCTCCCGCTGGGCACCGACCCCGTTCGCCCGGATGCCTCCGTCCCCCTTGTTGAGGCTCTGAGTCTTTTCCTTCAGCTGGGCGGCCAGCTCGGAGGCCAGCTGGGGATGCAGCGGCTCGGAGCGGGATTTGCTGGTACCGGGGCTACGCGGAGCATCCCTGGTGTCCGCGGCCCGCCGCTCCGGCTGGAAGGCACTCATCTTTCGGAAGGCGTTCTGCACCGCTCCGTTGATGGTCTCCATCGGCTCCGAGCCGGCTTTGCTCCTCTGCTTGGGTTTGGAGGGTGACTGGGGCTCCCCGCAGAGGCTGGATTTGCCCTCGGGGACGCCGGGCTCCTTCGGTTGCTTCTGCGCTTTCTCCTTCCCCCGGGCGCCGCCCTTCTCCTCCGCTCTGCCCTGCACACCGGCGGACGTCTCGCTCGGACTCCTCTTCCTCTTGGCCAAGCCCTGGCCTTGCTCGGGGCTGCCGGACCGGGCGGCCGCTTGCTCTGGGGACTGGCTGGGTACCGGCAGCGAGTTGGACTGGCCAGAGCTGTACCTGCCGTGGATCCAGGAGACTTTGGGCTTCGTGGCCGGATCTGGAGGACGGGGCTTGGTCCTTTCCGGGGATGGTGGCTTCCCGGGGCTGCGGGGCTCCGCGGTGGCATCCTCCTCCTCCTTGGACTGCTTGGAAAGGCGGGCGACCCTGGCGTAGAGCGCGGCGCCGGCCGACCCCGAGCCGCAGGAGGAGCGTTCGCTGTCCGAGGACTTGAGCAGGGGCGTCTCACTGCTGTCGGTCGGGAAGGCTCTGACAGAGCCTGTCTCCTTCAGGAACGTGTATTCGCCCGCTTCCTCCCCGCTGATCGAGGCCACCAGCTTGTCTCCGGGGCTGGCAGGTGTCCCTCTATCCCTGCTCTCACCCATACTCTCTGCGGGAAGAGAGCACAGCAGTGTCAGGTAGGATGTCTCTGAGGAGGGGAAGGACTGAGATGCTCCCGCAGGACACTGTCCTCCCAGTTAGGCTCCCAGTCAGAGATCTCCTGGCTCTTAACCCTGGAGCAGCAAAAGCTGGAAAAGGGAGCTCTGAAACTGTGTGGGTGGTGTGACTGGAATCTGCACTCTTTCCTGGGGCACAAGGAACCAGGGTGACATGGTCCTCACCATGTGGCCTCTCCATTGAGCAGGCCCCTGGTATGGCCCCTGAAATGCCCTGGGGATGAACCATGTTCCCTGCTCACCTTCATGGGGGACGCAGTACACGGGCCCCTCGTCCGTGGTTTCAAAGGAGGAGAAGGAGCCGTGGGATGACCAGGATGGGGAAGGTTGCTCCACCACAGAGGGTGGCTCGATGAAGCTGCAGTTCAAGGTGTTTTCCAGGTCATGGTGGGCCACTGTGAGGGCAAGGAACTGCTGTCAGTGCCTATTCTGCCGAACCCCAGTCCCCACTGCCAGCCAGGAGGGTAAGATGCTGCACAGCTCCCTGCTGCCCAGCTTCCTTATGGGTGTCAGGGACAGGGACAGCATCCAAGGCAAGGCAAGACACCTCTTGCTGCACAGTCCCACCAGGTCCCTCAGCCAAGTGGTCACAGAAGCCATCAGCTAGCAGTGGCAGTGACCAGTATCCCCCATGCTTGGGCTGTGGGCAGCAGAGTCTGTTCAAGCCTCACACTTCCATCTGTCCCAGTCTTCAGCTGCCCAAGTTGAGGATGCACATGGTGGAGGGACAAGCCACCCAAACACTGGGTCCCATGAGGACTTGGTGGGTGTCCTGGTGGTCACCTGTGAGCTGTGCAACCTGGCACAGCCAGCCTGCAAAGAAGGTCCTGGCACTGTGACTGTCCCCTTTGCAGGGAGAAAATTAGCTGCTGGCTTTAATTCCACTAATTCCCACTTCAGCATCACTGATTGCATCCTCCTTTTCCATTTTGCACATGGATGCAGGATGATGAAAGGAAGCCTGCAGCAGGGGCATGTACATTTTCCCAGTTCTGCCACTTTTCATTCCCTTTGCCAGCTTCTCTTCTCCTGAAGCTGAGCAGGAGTATCCCTCCCTTCATGCCCTGGCACTGCCCCTCTTTCAAGAGGCCACCCACAGTGAAGCCAAGAGGAAGAGAGAAACAACCAGAGGAAAAATGGTGTTAATAAAACAAAATAGAGAAGATGAGCAGTTAGGAGTTGTCTGGGCTGGAGTGACTTTTTTTTCATCTTGATAATTTTTAAGGCTTTTTTTCTGGACAAGCTCATGTCCCAACACATCCTGAGGGGCTTCCCCAGGTGCCCACAGCTTCAGCATCCTCCTCGGGTACCCACAGAACTGAGGCAGCAACCGGCTGAGAGGAGAGATTGACCCTTCCAGAGAACCATGCAGCAGTACATGCACTTGTCCCCATCCCCTTCCACTAGCTTTTTCCCCTAGGACAGTGACAAGCTGCCTCCAAAGCAAGGTAGAGCCTTGGATGAAGGGCTGCAAAAGGGTGGTCCCAAGGGATTGCTCAGACACTGCCCAGGCTCCCCAAGGAATGGGCTGAAGGCTGCCAGAGCTCCAGGGGCGTTTGGACCATGCTTTCAGGTGCAGGGTGGGACTGTTGGGGCATCTGTACAGGGCCAGGAGCTGGACTGATGATCCCTATGGGTCCCTCCCAGCTCAGGATATTCTGTGATTCTATGAAAACGCCATGCACAGGGAGGGTCCCAGCTGTACATGGGTATTCCCAGGTATTTTTAACCTTTGAACATCCAACTGCATCCCAACCCCAAATGCATCCTAGTCATGCTGCAATTGCCTGCCTGGACTGTTTGATCCTTGCAGCACATCCCTGATTTATAATAAAATAACTTTTAGTGTTATTGGGACACCCCAATAACATAAAGTGGAACATTTATCCATTACTAGGGAATCTTGCTTCAGACATGAAGGGCTGTTAAAATGACAGCAGTGCTGCACACTCACCCCTGCATAGTTTGGCTTCTTGGATCAAGGAAAAAAAAACCCAAGCAGAGATATTTAAAGAGCAAATGGCCCAGAGAGGGGGAAGCAGCAGTTCCAACATGGCTTTCCTTGTAATAAAAACCAAAAAGAGAAAATTAAAAGCAGCCGTCTGGAAGCAGATGAAGGGAGATACTTTCTGAGAAGGAGGCGTGACAAGCGGCTGGGACTCATGGCCACGAGGTGACTGTGGGACTCTAGTGAGCTCCAGGACACAGCCAGATTATAAAATGAGGATTTGTAGTGCACCTGGAAGCTTCGGGAAGCTTGGGGACTGCAGCATGGTTGCCAGGGATTTTTCTTCCCTGGCTGTTGGGGCTGAGAGAAATGTGGATGTTTCCCACATATCCCTACCTGTCACTGCTCCCCAAAATCTCCTGGAGCCACAGCATCAGGATGACAACCCCAAACCTGCCTACACAGAGGCCAGTTGGTCTCAAGACTGGGATGAGGCAGAGAAAAGCACCAGAAGTACCATGAGAGAGGGATCCCAGAGTCCTCCTGGGCACCCCCTCCCACTCATCCCAAGCTCCCCGCTATTGGCATCACCCTTGGGGCTGGTTAAGCTTTGCTGCTTGGAGAGGACATGTGGTGGGGTGCAGGGCTCAGGTTAGCCCTGGCATCTTCACGTGACATGACCAAGACCCCTACTGGTGCCACTGACACCTGATGAGCAAATCCCACAGGCAGGGGTACCCAAACTTTGGCCGTACAGCTGCTGGTGTGAGCCCAGGATGTGGCCCTGCAGGCTGCCAGCTCAGGTGCAATCCCAGGGAGATGCTGTGGATCTAAAGCTGGTGCCAAGGCTGAGGAGCAGCTTTTGAGGGAAGAACCTGAGGCTCCAGGCACCTGATGAGCTTTAGTGGGGCTTCAAGACCTCCAGTCCCACTTGGGAATGTTCTACCAGGAATAGGCTTGTGTTTGAGCCCAGAGAAGAAAACCCACCTGGTGTCAGCAAACTCATGGCCAGGACTGTGGGCAGATCCAGAGCAATCACTGCCTGGGCATCAGCCAGCACCAGTTTCACTGTAACATCCCCACAAGGCCCTGAGCACGTCCAGCCCTGACTTGGCCCTTGGGATGGGGCACTTCAGCAACCCTGGGACCCCCCTGGGCAGAACCAATGTGGGCAGCAAATGGCCAGTGGATACTGGATACTGTGGCTTCCACAGCACCAGATGCGGTCATAACATGGCACCCTGGTGACTGGGCATCAGGGATGCAGCTACTATAGGCAACCCAACAGGTCCCCTGGCGTCCTCAGAGCCAGTGGGGGCTGGAGGCACTGCCAGAACACGTGTCAGTGGGACTGGGAGCTTCTGGAACCCACATGGACTTCACTCTGCTGGATAACACAAGGCAAGCCCTTACCAAAGCCTTTCCCTCCAGGGAGATGACAACGCTCAGCACTGTGACAGACTCCAGGAACACCCCAGCCCTGCTGGGACCCAAGACCATCCTGAGCACCCTCAGCCTTTCCTGGGGCTGCTGTTGCTCTGTGTACACAGAATGGCTGGACTGGCACCAGCTGCCTGCAGGCAGCCCCCCTGCCCTCACTGCACACAGGCACCCTGTGTCCTCCCCAAGCCCTACTCCAGCCCCTTCCACAAACACAGCCTCTATGATCCTCTGTTGTCCTTGAGTAGGAATATTTCTTGGGCCCTGGCACACCCTGCTCCAGGCAGGGCTTTCCTGTGCCCCATGTGGTGAGGGGTTATCCCTGCAGTTTGCATGCTGAAGGTTGTGCATGTTGTGCAGGGATGGGGGTCACCTCTGTGTCCTGCCTGGGATGTGGGATTTAGCCTCAGGCCGAGCCACCGTGTGCTAGGATGTGGCAGCTCTGGGGATTCCACCAGCATGGCATGCCCAGGGAGGTGCTGGGCTCAGGAAGAGGGCTGGGGTTGAAACACATACCAGCACGGGGTGGGGATTGCTGCCTTCACACAAAGTTTAGTCAATGGGGTTGCAGCAGATCCCCAGCTCCCCATGCTGGGAGGAGGTGCAAAGAGAGTTTAGAGAGGGCAGAGGACAGCACAGCATTCCCCAGCAGCTGGGATGCAGGGGGCTTTCAACAGCCCTGACAGTGCCAGGTCAGGGGCTTTGCCAGGTGTGAGCAGCTCCCTAGAAGCCAATTATGTGCCCAGGCAGAGTGGGAAGCTCAACCCAAATCTCTGCCCCTCCATCCTCAACTCTGCTGCACATGGCAGGAGGGTGGGCATCAATACTTCATGATTACTTCATGGATTACTTCAGGATCAAAAGCACTAACAAGGCATCTTGCTGAGAGCGACATTCCTCTCCAGGGGAAACCTTAGGAGAGTAAACCAAAAACTACTCAGTAGAGCTCCAGAACCATGCATCCTCACAAAGCAAAATGTGCTTGGAAATCCAGAAGCTGCAGACAGAAAGGGCTGAGCTCCTGTGAGCCAGGCAGCTCATACCAACGTTGAAATGCTCCCAGGGATCCATGTGTCCCTGTCACTGCCCTACCATGCTCACCACCCTGCTTTGGGACTGCAAAGACTGCTGTGAGCCACACAGGCTGCCCTGACAGGAGTAAAATCTGACTCTATGTGCCCTCTTCAAAACCCAGCACCTTACCCATGACCTTGGGCAGCTTCTGGCGGCGCAGGGGGATGCGTGGGAGCTTCATCCCAATCCGACTGAACCGCCCACACAAACGTCTTGGAGGTTTCTTGGCTGCTGCTGGGTCCTGGCTGGAGCTGCAGAGAAGGCAATGGCACTATTAGAGGCACTGATCCCCTCCTGTGGCGAGGATAGCCTTCATGGGCAACAGAGAGAGGCAGCAGCTCAGGGATGCTGCAAGTGCAAAGGGGTTTTAGAGTGGTAATGGGGTGGATGAAAAGCAGATGCATGCCCAGGTTGAAGGAACTGAGGACCCACAGAAGCTGCTGCCAGCCCCAGGCACCAGCTTGCACCACAGCAGGATGTAGAGCAGTACCAGGGAATGGTGGGAAGGTCAGATCCAACCATGGCCATTGGCAGCACAGTCCCAAAATACCCGCAATGCCTGGTCCAGACCCCAAATCTTTAAAAATAATAATAAAAAAAATCCCAACCCAAAGCCAAACATGTGGCTTCTCTTTATTTGCTCTCTGGTTTTGAAGCCTCCTGGGGCCACGTTTTCAAGCACTTTTCTGCAGCTTCAGGAGTGATTGGCTTTGTGAGTTGACTCAAAGGAACTTGTGCCATGGCCACCATCCCCTGCAAGGGACCACACTAGGACAGCACCACAGGTCATCCAGCAGTCTGGGGACACTGTGGTCTGGGCACCCTGGGAAAGAGGAAACTATTTGGAGCCATTCCCCCTCTCCCTGTGCCATTCCTCACCTGATGGGTTTGTGCTTTATCTGCAGGATAATTACCTGCAGCCTGAAGGCTCTCCAAGCCAGCTGTGCCTGGCTGGGATTGAGCTCGAAGGGCTGCAAGGAAAGGCTTCTGGAAGATTCCTGTGCAGTGGCTGATGGGATGAAGGGGTTTTCTCTGCATCTGGAGGAGCTCCAACAGCTCTCTCATCCCTTGCTGAACAGCACAAACCTTTCCCCCTGCCTTGGGTCTGTCCCCACTCCTATTCTCATGGTAGGATGTTAATCTGGTGCTGCTAAAACACTACTAGCATCCTGACCTTGCTGCAGGAACCCTCCCTCCCAGCCCTGATCATCCACTCCCATGTGGGACAGTCAGCATCCCCTCTGTCCCCCAGGCCTCATCCCTTTGCTCAAGGGCTTGTTCTGAGGGCTTAGGCCATGTTGTGATGCCCTTGCTGTATTTCAGGGCCCCCTTTGCAGATCAGCTCCAGACCCTAAAGACTGGAGGGGACTTGGCAGGTCTCTGTGAAATGGTCCACAAGAGAGAAAAAAAGGGAGAGCAGGAAAGGGTTCCCCCAGAAGGGGAACTCCATCAGCCCTGATGATGCAGCAGGACTGCTCAGACCCAGGTACCCACTCTGTGTCGTCTGGGCAGCACAGTTCTACCTCAGTTTCCCTGCAGAACTGCTGTCTCAGCATGGTCTCTGCATCCCCCTGTCAATCCCAGAACCCACTGATCTTCCACATTCCCAAGCTAGTGAGATCCCTTCTGGCCCCTGCACTCACCTGCTGGCTTCATCCTTCTTGCGGCAGACGCAGCAGCAGCAGAGCAGGGAGAGCAGGAGGATGAGCAGCAGCGCCAGGAGGGCCCCTGCCCCAATCACCCCCATCCTCTGGTTGGCCTCTGCAAGGCAGACCCGTGGCTCAGCCCGGGGCCAGCCCTGTGACAGAGCCCAGCCCCTGGCTCCCGGCACTCACCCATGTGGCAGGCGCCTGTCAGGGGGTCACAGGCACCGTCGTGGCAGCTGCAGACGTTGGCACAGTTGGCTCCGTAGCGTCCGGGAGGGCAAGTCAGGTTACAGCTGGAAGGAAGGGCTGGATCAGAGTGGTGCATCCCCCACCCCAGGCACAGCACTGGAGGCCACTTGGCTGCCACCTTCTCCCAAACCCTCCATGTTCCAGAGAGCACTCCTCCAGCTTGCTCAGACACAGCTCCTCCACACTCTGGGAACCCTTAATCCACGGGGATCAGGAGACCATCACCCACAAAGTGGCTTTGCCCATCGCTCAGGGGATTCGGCCCAGCTGGATCTCAGACATTTTTACTGCCCTCTGCACGGGACTTCACCATTAGACACAGTAATTAGGAAAGGTCATTAACCCAGCAGTCACATCTAATGATACCCTGATGTCACACACAAGGATTCCAGCTCAGCTCAGTGATGTGGCCATGGCACCCTAAGTCCTATCCCCCACCAAGCCAGGCAGAGCCACAGTGGCCACAAGCTGGGAAGGTGCCTGGATTGACTTTTATTTTGTCTCTAGGAAGGGAAAACAACAGAGCAGCCCTAAAAACTTCACAGTTTCGTTATGCCCGGTACCGAATCTCCACTGCTGGTAAAATGACTTCCTGATGGTGTGATGGAGATCATGGGGGCACACAGAAATGGGCACCAATCCACAAGTCTCAAGGGCTTGAGCATGGAAAACATGGAGTCAGTGGGTCCAACCCAACCTGCCTCCCCAGCTGTGGGCCAGGCACTGCAGCGCAGGATCCAGCTGGAGCTGGGAGATGTTGGCAGCACTGCTGGCACCAAACCCCCTGCCAGCTGCATCCCAGCTAGACTGGCTGCAGCTGGAAGGAGCCAGTGGGGCCCAGCCCAAACCCACTCCCCTGGAGACACAGCTGCCCCCAGCTCTCAGCACTGTGTCCCGAGGCAGCTCAGCCCATTTCATACTCCAACAACTTGCAACATGCCACCTTGGCCAAGCCTTTTGCCTGCTGTGTGCCTGTCCTGTGCCAGTCGTGTGCCCTTCATGTGCCTGCCAGGATGGGTGCTGAGCTTCTGCGTCTGCTCTGCTGCATCGGGCAGCTAATGCAGCAGAACAGGAGAAGGGATAGTCCCCCAGCAAGGCAAAACCTCTCACCCCACCAATTGGCCCCACATTTCTGCCCCAGACTGAGATTTTGGGAGAGCAGAAGAAGGTGATTTTATTCCAAGAGAGTCCTGACACTTCTGGGAAAGACAGAGAAGATAAAGCACTTTGTGCACACATAAATATTTCAGCAGCTACTCCTTTAGCCTCCTCCTGACACAGAGCTGAAAGGACATGCTGGATGGCAGAAGGATGTTTTTTTCTGCCTTCTGCAGAAATCCCCTTTTTAGCAAAATTGTACCCTGCTGACAAAAACACTGGTTTGGATATAGACACAGGGATCTGCCTGAGCAGCCAGAATGTTCCCAAGCCTGCCTGACTGCACCGCCTGGCACAGCTCAGCTCAAGGTTACAGCACCAAGGCTGCATCCTGAGCATCCCCCACCCCCACCTTCCCAGTGCTGAGCCAGGTTCTCAGAACAGGTTAATCCACACTCTGCCCTCTGGAACTGTGCCAAAAGCATCACCACACACCCCCGTGAGGAGCATTCAGGCCCTTTCACCTCTGCCTTTGCTACCAAAGGTGGCCATGAGGCCCAGGCTGGGCATCCTGAACAGGTGCCAGTGCCCAGCAACTGTTCCGGCACCAAAAGTGGTTGTCAAAGCCCCAAAATACACCCCCATCCCCCACCCCCCCCAAATGGAAATGCTCCCTGGTTTTATGCCCTGAGTGAAATGCCAGCATGGACAAGATGCCAGCTCCAAATCCCTGCCCTTGCTGTCACCTTCAGTTAATTGATGGGAAAACCTGAGCACCACCTGGCAGGATCTGGGGGATCTGTCTGCATGTCCCAGCTGGGTGGAAGATGCTTTCCTCATCTTTTCAAACAACATTTCAGTCCCACGCTGGGAAAAACTACCTGGGGATGTGTGCAGAACCTTGATGGCCCTTGTGCCCCTGGAGTCGAGGAAGGGGGAGGCCTGGGGAAGACCCCAACCAGAGGCAGAGCTTTAAGCAGGAGCTCCCCACAGATGCCATGTGCCTGAGGCTGTTTGTTATTCTGAGATGTGGTTTTCTCTCTGTTTTTGGTTAGAAATTCCACCCTGGACTTAAAAACCCCCAACAAACCACCACTTTGTTGATCTTATTTTTTGCCAAACAGGCCTTTTCTAAAGCACAACACCCCTTACTGCTCTGTGAGCTTGTCCTTCCCCCTCTGCTCACCAAATCAGCCAAACTATTACCCAGCGCTTACACTGCAGGAAACCTCTCAGCTGGCAACAGCATAGGACACAAGGGGTCAGGAGGTGCCTGAGCATCACCCGTGCCCCGAGGTGCCCCCGGGTGTTCTCAGTATTCACTTACTATGTGCCATGGGAGCCGGGGTGGCAGAGGCACTGCCCAGTCTCAAAGTGGCACTGGCCATTGACGCAGTCACTGCAGACGAAGGCGCAGTTCTCCCCGTATGTCCCGTTCCGGCACTTGGTTTCACACCTGGGAGGGATGAGGGCAAGTGGCTGGAGCACCTGTGGCACTTGGGGACCTCCAGCATTCCTCCACATGCATGGAGATGGGGCTGTATATCACCATGTTGGCCTGTGTTTTCTGAAGCCAGGAGAGGGGTACAGGGATGGACTGAACCCACTGACACAGACATGGAACAGGAGGGAGCCTGCGAGACCCCTGCCCTACTCCCCTCAGACCCTGGATGCTTGCAGTGGGGCTCAGCTCTCAAGCTGGGATGCTCTCCCACAAACTCTTGTGCAAAGGATTGGTTTCAGGGCTGCAGAAGCCTTCAGTGACCCTGTTCCCTGGGAGAATCGAGGAAAGCAGGTACTTCTCTCCCAGAACCCAATGCTGCACCCATCCACACTCACCGGTCTCCAATCCAGCCCGGGTTGCAGTGGGAGCACTTGCCATTGATGTGATTACAGGTGTGGCCATCCTTGCAGGGGGGACAGAGCTTTTCACAGCCCTCTCCATAGAAGCCGGGTGAGCAGGGCTGGTCACACTTGGTGCCGTTCCAGCCTGCCTCACATGTCAGGCAGCGCCCATCGGCCACGGTGCACGGCTGCAGGCTCTTGCACTGCCCACACCTGCAACAAGGGGAACCCATCACGCAGCACACCCCAAATCCTCCTGCTGCCACCTCCCACCGGTGCCAGATCAGACCCAGCAAGGCTGGCCACTCACCGCCTCCTGCAGCCTTGGCCGTAGAAGCCAGCTGGGCACGGCTCGCGGCAGTACTTGCCCCGGTAGCCCGGCTCGCAGGTGCAGGTCCCATCCACCTGGTTGCACTTGCCCTTGTAGCACTGGCAGTAGCGGTCGCAGCGAGGCCCGAAGGTCCTCTCCCGGCACTGGCAGCGCCCCGTGAACTGCTCGCAGGGTGAGTTATTGCAGGAGCACTGGTTGTTGCAGCCACGGCCCCACCAGCCAGGCTGGCACAGGCAGTTGCCTGTCTGCTGGTCACACTGGGAGTTGTGGCTGCAATAGCAGGAGCTGGAGCACTGTGGTCCCCACCAGTTGGGCTCACAGGTGCATTTGCCTGTCTTCTGGTCACACTTGCCATGCTTGCAGAGGCAGATATTCTCACACTTGGGGCCCCAGCGGTTGAGGTTGCAGGTGCACTGGCCCGTCACATCCTCACACTGCCCATTGGGATGGCACGTGCACATTTCCTTGCAGTCGGGACCCCAGAACTGCCGGGGACACTCTGTGGGGAGAGCCATTGGCCTCAGCACTGCCCACAGGGACAACCCCACCGCCAGGCACCAATGGAGACCCCCAGTCCCAACAGTACCTCTTGACCACAGTCCTCCCTCTCCTCCCCAAGTGTACTGGATCTAAGAGAAGACCCCAGCAAGGGGACAACGCCCCGGGAAGCAGAGCCAGGGGACGGGCAAGGGCAGAGCAGGAGCATTCACAACTGCATCCCTGGTGATCTGCTCTGGAAAGTCACCCCAGGATGAGCCCTGTTGAACCTGTCTCTGAGGACACAAAGGCACCCCCAGTACTCACTGGTGTCGCAGGTGGCACCAAAGTAGCCGTGGCGGCAACGGCACTCGCCGGGCCTGACGCATACCTCGTTCTCCTTGCAGGTGAAGTTCCCCTCGCATATGGCTGGACAGATGGACAGATAGCAGGCATGAGCACCAGTGCTTGCTCCTTAAAGCCGCCCAGACCCCCCCAGAGCAGAAAAAGGGCTGTGCAGTGACTCTCTGTGTGCTGCTGAGCTGTGTCTCTGTCCCATCCAGCAGCTGCCTGGGCCGGATGGGACCCTTTCCAGAAAAATTCCACCAGACTCCTGTCACCTTGCTCAGCCCCATCTCTGTCACCCAGAAAGGATGTCATCCATCCTGGCCACCAGCCTCCTGCCACCCACCCATGTCCCTGCCAGAGGCTGCACCCAATGGTGTTGTCTCTTGCTCAGTTCCACATTGCTAGAGGGGAGAAGGGGACATGGAGAGGAGGGGCTGTGGGCACTGCCATCCCAGCACCTGCCCCCAAAGGCCACCAACCCATCTCCTGCTGAGGGGACCTCATACTGAGCTGATGTCTGGAGCTAGGCAAGCGCAGGACGTGGGACAGGCAGCAGGGACAGGCAGCACTCGCAGATCCTGCACAGCCCTGGTCAAACTTCCTTAGGCACTGGGAGGAGGAGAGACAACCACCCATCCCAGCCACCTTACCTGGGAGTTGTTAGACCTATGATGATGGATATTATAGAAACCCCTAAAACAGACAGATTACACATGTTAGGAGCAGTGAGTCTAAAGGTTAGAGCAGGTTGGGAGGGCAAGAGATGGGAATAACTTGCTGTGGGACCATCCCACCCCTCAGTGTCCTGGAAGATCCTGTCCTTCTCCCTTCTAAACAGGCCACATCCCATTCCCAACACATGCAGCGAGTGGTTACAGGGCTCATGCACAGTGGGTTAGTTGGTTATGTGGGCTTTGGTCTGCTGCACCTCCAGCTCTCCTGGGGCATGGTGAGCCCTGTGGCCAGCTGAGACTCTGGGGTAACCCCAAAGCAGCTGTCTTCATTGCCAATGCAGGGAATGATGCTCCCAGGGTTTCACCATCCATGAGCACAGTAAGCACCCATGCTGGGCTCACTGTGGCTCCCAGTAAAGAGCTGTGACACCTTATACGGCCCCAGTCCAAGCTCACTGGTCACAGTCCCAGCAGCCTCTGTGAGTGAGGCCATCATAGGCTACGTGCCTGGTCTGGGCAGCTTCGGCTTCACTGGTGGCTCTGGCTCAGGTCCCCATGCTGCTGCAGCATCTGCAGGGAATCTCAGTCCCATTCCTGCAGCTGCACCTTCACCCTGGGGGACAATTCACTGTCCCTTAGGACCCTGAGCAGCATCTCCAAGTCCTTAGACCCAGAGCTAGCTGGTAAGGAAAGAAACCCCCCACAGCTCTGTGACCCCTGACACTGCGGCTCAGTACCCATTCCATCCACATGGTGCTGGCTTGGTGCACTGCAGGGAGGCTGGACTCCAGCTGCAGGTCCCCAGGATGGGGAATCCCAGCCACACGACACATCAAGGTGGCCCCTGACAGTGGTGGTGAGGCCAGGAGGGCTCAGTGAAGGATGGGCAGAGCCCAATGAAGCAAAATACCGGTGTTTACCTATTAAACACTCGCTCCCTTGTTGCCTCCATCCCAGGCAGCACACAAGAACCGAGGAGCTGCAGGGATAAAAAAAGCATCACAAATAGTTACAACCCTGAGAAAGTCCTGGTCCTTCCCAAAAGCCCACCAGGAGTACTGAAGCCATGATGGTGACAGGTCCTGCTGTGGGCTTCTACACCTCCAAAGGGAAGGAGAGCTCTTGGCTCCTCCAGCACACAGTGAGTTAATGGGTCTGCTAGGGCACCCCATGGGTGCCCCATCAGGCATTCAGATGATGCCAGGAGTAAGAACAGGACTAGTTTTTCCCATTAATAAGGAGTGATGAAAAAGCAAAAGTCATGTTTGCAACCTCTACAATAAAAAAAATAAATCTAAAGACCCAAAAAGCTGAGAAAAAAAGGAAGATTCTAAATGCCCCATGTCAAAACATGACTTGAGACCCAGGCATGGTGCTTTGTGGTTTGGGGATGGAACCTCAAAGGCAGGTTGGAACCACCTGGATGGAATAGCTGCAACATAGCCAGCCCCCAGGGAATGTCCCTATGTACAAGCAGGGGGATGCCAACTTCAGGCAGCTGGAATGTGTCCCTGAGCTCTTGAGAGTCCTGGAGTGCCACCACCTCCAGGGAGTACCAGGCACAGGATCATCAGACAGGACATTTTTGGCACAACTTGACCAGGATGGGGGCTTAGACCCACTCAGAGGCTCCGCCAGGGATGCTCAGCTCTCTGCTGGGAAGGGACACATGGGGACAACCTCACCCACGCTTTGTCAAAGAACCCCCCCAAGCAAATCTTTGGGGGCTCATGATGCTGCAATTGGGCTTGTGGAGCGCACTCCCCGTGACCCCACAGAAATCCCCATTTATGGACCCCTGCTCATCCCTGGAGCCACCCACTCATCCTTGGGGTGACCCACACCACCTCGTCCCACAGGTGAGGGAGCAATGCTGGAGGGTCACAAACAACCCAGGCAGATGCTGCAGTCAAGGAAAACTTCACCCGGGCTGGTCTGGCAGCGCAGCCTGGAATGCATTTGGCCTTTGCTCTTTTTTTTTCCCCTTTTCCTCTTTATATGTAACAAATGCAGAAGAGGAGGAGACAGCGAGGAAGTATTCGCTCAAAACCCAGCGCAGTCACAGGACCACGTCTGGCTGCCAGACCGCCTCATCCTGGGGCCGGGGAGGGAGCTGCCACAGCCCCTCAGCCAAACCGGGGTCCTGGGGCTGCAGCTCCTGCCCTGGCCCCTCGGTGGGCAGCAGCTGCATGGCCCAGCCAGGAGCACCGTGTCCCCCTTTTCGTGGAGGACAGTGAAAAGTTGGAATGGAGGCAGAAAAGAACCACAAAAATGATTCAAGGCCTGGAAAAAATGCCTTGCAGCTGGAGCCCAAAATAGCTCCATCTATGCGGCCTGTAGAAGCAGCCGCAAGATACTGTGATGGCAGCAGCACAAACACCCCCCACAGGGACCCTAGGGCTCAATGGGGGCTCTGCTCCCACCGAGCATGCCAGGGGATGCACAGGGTTAATGGCAAAGAGGGGACAACCACCAAATCACCTCGCCAAGGACCCCCGAGGACTGGAGTCAAGGTCCTTCTCTGCAAGAGGTTTCAGGCTGTGCCCCCCAAAAAAGCTTTGCCAGCTGTGCTGGGATATTCAGGCAGAGGTGGAGAAGGATCCATGGTGCTCTTGCCCTTCCATATCATGGCCAAAACCTCACTGTTGCACCTGGGGCTGCTTTCACCACATCACCCTTTAGAAATTCAGTTTGGTGGCTTTTAGAATGAAACCATCACAGGTTTGCAAGAGGAAACCCTTCCACCTGGGAAACCTGCCTCCAACAACCCAGCCTGGCCACCAAAACAAGCATCATGGGAAATGTGCCAAAAAGTATCCTTTGTGATAAAACCCCCGAGCTTATGGTGGGGAGCTGGGAGTTACTGGAACGTGGTGGCAGGATGGAAAAACTTCTGCCGTGAGCTGGAGGAGGTGAGCGGCACCACAACTACCCCCAGCTGCGACCAGCCCACCACCTCACATGATTTGGGCTTATCTGTTCCCTGATAGCTAATCTCTCCTTCCCTGTGCCTGCTGATGGCCTCCCACACCCTGCTCAGCCCCCACCTCATTTACCAGCAGCTTTGACAGCAAATAAACTTGGTCCTGTGGCAAGGAGAGGTAGCCAGGATGTGAGTCTGGGAAACAAGTGCTCCCAATGGGGTACATGGACTGGTCCCAGAGCACGGCCAGCCCATGGAGGGTCAGTGCTGGCTGCAGGTCATCAGTGTGCATCAGGGTGTGGGATTTAAAGGTGTTTCATGGCTTCAGCTCCTTGACAAAGGGCTTGCTCCATGTGCTCCCCGAGCACTGGAAAAGGATGACTGGGACATGTGTTTAAAAGCTCACTCCCAACCCACATGGACACGGCACTGCAGATATCCAGTATGCAAATACTTCCTTTCCTTCAAAGCACCACAAATGCTGGGAAAAAAACAATGAAAATCTGCCTTTGAGCTGTGGCCAGGGCTTGAGACCTCAGCTGATGTGGAGGAAAAAGAGTGGGATGTGGGCAGAGCTAGAGCTGGCACCTGCAGGGATGAGTCCTCCATGCCAGCCTTGCCCCAGGCCCCTAGCTATGTCCTGCTCATGCTGAGCATCACTGGGATCTCAGCTAATGATCCCAGGCTTTTCACAGATGTAGAATATTTTTCTTGTGCATTAGTATCCTACATTGCCCCAGGAAATCACCTTACCAATGGCTATAGAGAGGGCTCTGAGGCAGGGGGGGTGGCTCCTCAATAAGACCAGCAGAGCCTGCCCTGAACAATGAGGAGCAGGCTCACATCCCTGGATTCTGGGGCTCAGCTGGGAGCTGCTGCATGTGGTCCCACGTGAGATCACCCAACTCAACCCCATGGATGGAGCTGCAGAGGAGCCCTGCAGACACACAGCATACCCCTGGTGCTCAGAGAACCACTAGCACCCTCCCCATTCCCAGTGCTTCTCTATACCTGCCCTGCTGCTCCTTCATCACCCTGCCTAGCATCACCCCAGTGCTAATCTTTCACCCATCACCTAGTGCCACCCAGCTGGCACACAGTGCTCTTGGGACCACTGGGTTCCAGGCACTGGCACTCTCCAGCTGATGCCAGCTGCAGCATTCTGATCCCAGCCTCAGGGTGCAGCCAGACAAACAGACATCCTCAGGGCAGTCAGGAACAGGATCATGCACATAAACAGAAGCTCTTCAGGCAGAGAAAGAAAATAAAAGACCAAAGATTGGAAAAGAGAATGTTAGCAAGAGAGCAGGACAGGGACAAAGCAGTGCCCAGGCTGTCACCACTGGGACCTTTGATCATACCAATGGGAAACCAGTTACAAATGAACTTCAGATTTAAGGACAACTTGAATTTAGAACACAAAACCCCAAAGACCCCCAAATATGCTTTTTTCTTCTCCCCTAAATTATTCCTTGAATTTCTACTTGGAAGTCAGGTCTCAAGAAATCACACAATCCTGAGGCCTCTGAAACCCATGGTGGCATCTCCACAGGATGTCTGGATTGGCTTTGCAGAGCCAAGGGTAAAACAAGCTCAAACAGCCTTGGGTGGAGGACAATGGGACGTCCTCCCAAAGCCACCTCCAGTCCCACTGTTCCTGGCCCCAGGACCTGCAGCACCAGGGCCTTGGGGCCACTGGGGTGGGTTTAGATGGTAACATATGGGGGGTCCTCCACATCCATTGTACACAATGATGGGGGTGGGTGCCAAGTGAGTGAGTGGAGAGGGAAGAAGGGTTTGCAGATGGGTGAGGGATAGGAAGTGATGCAAACATCATCTGAGCTTCCTAGGGACTGTCCCTGCCCCACCATCCCCAGCTCCTCAGCTGCCTTCAGGCCCCAGTCCTGCCGGACAATGGACACAACCCATCTGTCCCACCCAACAGCCAGTGTCTCTTTCATACCCCATGGCAGCCACAGGTGGCACAGTGAGCGAGCCTGAGCCCTGTGGTGTTGGTGCAGAACCTCCTCCTCCTCCTTCATCCAGTGGGGATGAGGGGGTCCTTCTGCATGGGGGGAATCCAGGCACCTCATCCCCAGCACCTGGGGCAGGATACAAGGAACAGGGTGGGGACACTACTCAAGTTCCCTCTGCCACCCCAAGATGTAGTGGCAGCTTGGTGGTGCAGGTCACGGGCAGCTGAGGAGGGATGGCTCCCTGTCAAGGAACGGCGCTGATGGGAGCTGCGGCCACTCTGGCTTGTGAAATGCCTCCTTAGGAAACTCTGGCTGTAATTTGAGGAGGGGGCACCAGCGCCCTGTGGCCCTGCTGAATGGAGCCATTATGCAGCCCCTCTAGCTCAAGCTCATGTTTTCCTTGTGGACTCGTCTGACCTCACAGGCGAGATGTAAAGGTGCATTTATGGCCTGGGCCCCCCATCAAGCGCTGGGGATCCAGCTCTCCCAGGCGGGAGGCAGCAGCTGTGGGCTCTCTCCTGTTTTGCTGGGGCCAGCCTGGCCCAGGAGCTTGGGCAGACTGAGCTTGAGCACTGCAGAGAAGCTAGGCTGAGGTGATGCTCTGCAAAGGAAGTTGCAGGACACGGAGAGCACTCAAAACAGGGACAAGTCAGTGCCACCTCCTGAGACCCTGCCCCCAGCCAAGCAGGCAAGATATGACCCCCGGGACAGCTAGACAGTGCCAGCACCCACTTTCTGAAGCCAAACACGAGCGTCCTGGGGCTGCCAACCCCACAATCCCCAAAAGCTTGGGGCAGCCTCACCGAGATACCCAGAGCATCCTGTATCTCACCAGTCCAGGGCCAGCAGCGCAACCCGATCCCTGGAGACACCCAGGACCGGCTCCCCAGCCCAGATCCTGACCCAAGGATGCAGGATTGCCCTCTGTCCCTCTCACAACTCCATCCGCGAGACACCCAAACACAACTCCTTACAGCAGAACCGGCTTCGGGCATCCAGGACTGGCTCTGGAGGCATCCAGAACCGGTTTCCCGCAGCCCTCGGGGGATCAGGACCAGCCCCCACGTCTCTGGTCCCGCTCGGGCTCAGCTCCTCAAGCTGTCCCCACCGCCGGCTCCCCCCTCTCAGACGCGCACAGGACGGACTTTGTCTTGGAAGGCGCCCAGCGCCGCGGCTGCCCGGGATGGGGGATGGACCGGCGAGCCCGTCCCGTGGCCCCGGCCCCAGCCCGGCGCTGGGGGTCCCGTCCCGCACACCTGCCCGCCCCCGCTCCTACCCGCTGGCCCTGCAGACGT